GTTTGGATTCCACGATTCGAGCAATTCGACGTTGCCGTAATCTTCATTTCCATAAATTTCAATTTTGGTCTTGCTCAATTCTGCTACCAAGTAACGAAAAGCCGCGCTGCGAAAGCCTTTTGCTCGCATGTACTGTTCCGCTGAATTGGATTCAAGATTGATTTGAGCGTTTCCGATTCGAGCTACGAGAATGTCCAGTGTCAAGGTTGGGTAACTCTTAATCAATTGTTTGGCTGCAGGACCTGCTTTTGTCGTTTCCGCGTGATGAATCAAGTTGACAATCATCAGAATTCTGTTGAACTTCAGCAATCGTTCCATTTGGTGGTAAAATCGGATTAGAAAGTGAGTTGCTTCCAAGTTTTCTCCAGCGCGATGGTGAAACTTGGGAACTTTGCCGAATCTGCTTTCAAGTTCACTGCTGCCTCCAGATTGAACTTTGTGTCTGGCTTTTTCGAGCATCGATTTGTCAGCAACCATCGTCGCGTAGTTTTTTAAGTATTCGGTTAACTCATCTTTTAGTGGGGAAATGGCTTCCATGATTGCTTTAATTTCAACATTCTCTTTCGTTAAATTGATTCTGAAAGCTTCCCAAGCATCTGTGTCAGCCCAATCGACTTGATGTTGCCCAAAATTCGTCAGATGTTTTTCCATTATCGCTTTCAATCTGTCATGTATATTCTGAATCTCTAATAACAGTTTGTAGTCCACTTCATTGAGCGAGTAGTCATTAAAAAACATTTTAGCAATAGCAACGATTTCCGTTTGATTGATGTTGGGATTCCAAAGTGCCGTAGGAGCCGGTTCAGCGAACTTCACATTGGATATTTTGCCATTTTGTGGTGTCAATTCTAAATCATTATTGAGTTTGGCAGTTTGGCAATGTTCTGCGTACTTTGAAACATCATTGCGATGCTTTGTAAGAAGACGTTTCAGCTGACGTTTTTGGGAAGCGTGTTTGCTGAGATTTTCGAGTTCAGTGACACTCAAACCGCCGTCTTTCGTTTTCTGTACTGCCCCAATCAGCGTCTTCTTGAATGGATTTTTCATCACTTCTCGAAATCTGGAACATCGCAATAGCATTGGGATACTCAGGCGATCCAAATCTGCATGACTGAATTCAATAAGGAAATACGTAATCACTTCTTGCACGAGGCCACAAGTGCTTTCGTGAGTTTTCTTTGCCAGCAAGCTGTTCACAAATTTTCCAGGCATCATGGAAGACTTCTTCATCCTTGTTCTTCGGATTTCTAGAGAATCTTCGTTGACTTCTTTGACCACAACCACTTCCTGTTCTTGTTCCGTCGATTCTTCTTCTTCCACGCTCTCCTCGATTGCCAAATTAACAGTAGTTGTAGATTTTACCGTGACTATGGCAGCAGCTAATGCTCCGTCGAGTTGAACTGTGTGTTCCGTCGCTTTTTGCCATAATTTATTGAGCACTATGGATTTCTTCATTGTTGTTTGAGCTTCCGTAGATCGTTCTTGTTTCTGCTTCTGCTTCGTCTTTCTGACTCCTCCTTTCGGAACATCTTGAAATTGGAATTCACCGAAAACAGACGATTCGTTTGCAACGTGTTTTCGATAACCATTCATACGGCGTTTGTCGTCCGACTTGACGTAATACTCCATTTTCAACCTTGTGGCAGATTTTTGTCCGTAGAAGAATTTGTTTGTTCCACTGGCAGATCGATCAATTACTGCCATGTGATTTCCATTACTTCCGGACTTTCCACATTCACCAACAGTTCCATCAGTTCCATTACTACCTGGGTTCTTGGCTATGCTGATCGAGGAAAATTCAATGCCAGTATCGGGATTAATAATATTGCATTCGCCTTGATTGCCGCCTTCTCCACCGCAGCCATTGCGTCCGCCAACACCTCCAGCAGTGCCATCAGTGCCTTTGATCCAAACAAAAAGCTCGTACCATGAATAGGTCCATCCGGAGTAGCACGCAAGCGAATAGATCATTGTTCTTTTGTAGGAATCTGTGTATTCGTAGTACAAATATTCTTTACTATAATTATAATGACGGGAAGTGCGAGTCCAGTTCTCTGGCTCATAATCGATAAAATACGTCCATCTTGTGCGATACAAACTGTCGTACTTGACACAAGCAGCTTTAAGCTCGTCCTCGGTCACTCCCTTTCCATCAACACCGTTACCACCATCACCCCCGTTTTGCCCGTTTTCGCCGTTTCCTCCATTGAGGACAAGTTTGAGTTTTTGCGGATTTGAAATATCTTTTGTCATGATGGCAATATTACCGCTGGATTCTCCTGGACGTCCATCGTTCCCGTTTACACCGTCACTGCCCATGCTACCATCTGACGCTTTCCAATTCCGTTTCTCATAACCGCTACCGGAAACATCGATTACCCGATCACTCCACACGTTGACTTTGTCAGTCACAACGCACAAATTTTTTCCCTGCCAATCTTTACCTTTCAAATTAGCATCAATGTGAAAGACGTCTCGAGCAAAAATATCCACTTGCAGAATATTCTTTTTTTTTTCCATTATGCTCTCAATTTTCTTCTTGATGGAACTTAAAAAGATTGTGCGACCGACAACATTCAGCGTGATCCCATCTTCGTCCATTTGGATTTCTGGTTCTTGTAGGTACAATTTCAAGACAGCGATAAGTCCATCTTTTTCTTGAAAATCATCCGTTGGAATGCTTTTCAGAGCTTTGAGAAAATTCAATCGAACGACGTCTCCGGGTGAAGCTGCTGGCCATTTTATCGCTTTCAGACTGCTCAATTTCACGCCTTCATTGAACCATTTACTCCACTCACGCCAAGTTTCGAGGCTCATTTCGCCCGATTCAAACCATTCAAAAATCAAACTTTTTAAGGTTTCTTCCGGACCTAGAGCAGTTATGACGGTTTTATTATTATATGACCTTTCGAAATCAAAGATTCACTCACCCGATGGGATGAATCGGCTCATGAGGAGATGAAAAAATCGCTGCAATTCGGTGTTCCATTCTTCCGGTGGCTGAACGCCATTATCGCTCATTTGCTTGGTGATATCGTTAAAAAACTGGCTGTTTACAGTCAAACCAGTTTTTCCTTCATTGATGAAAGCCGTTTTCCCCTGAGTTATCAATTCAATCATTTTGTCTTTGAGGTTAGCTCTGATCACTTTGAGCAATTCCATTTTAAAATGATGACGGATGAAAGCAATAACGGAAGACTCAAGGTTTTCCAAAGAGCCTATGACATTGCCAATTCGGTTTTTATTAGAAACTGCTTGAATTGCGATCAAACGAAGTTCATCAGGAGAGTAAGTATGTACTGAAATGTGAAGTATTTATAACAATGATAAATATGTTTTATGGACCAAAATTAATTTCTTTTAAAAGAGCTTACCAGATTTCTTTTTTGAATTATGAATCACAACGTCAGGAGGCATACTGTCTTTCGCTTGTCAAAACCTTAGAAAAAAAGATCTAAAAAACATTAAAAACCGTGTTTACGGGTAAAAAGATTGAAAAAAATATTGTGATT